AACATTGTAATGCTGCAGAAGAAGGGTGATTTATCGACAGAAAAACTGATTTTATAGCCGAAAGAACTTGTTCCTGCATGTATAAATTGCTACCCCTAACACATTGTTTTCCCAGAATCCTCGTTTTCGGCGTTCTTGATAACGAGAAATTGGTTAACGGCAAACCTTCTCTGTGGTCAACAATAGCGCCTCCGCCGTTCAGACAAGTGGCCCCAAAATTGAACTTCCGGTATCGATCTGGCCGAACCTGAGTCGGCCTGAGAATTTGAAACGGACATTTTGATATAGGGGGTCCTTACACGAAGTCCTAACGACATTTTCAAAATTTTCCTAAAATGTCTACAACTTTTCTACTTTTTTTCGGATAGAAAATAGGCATGTTTATTAAACTGGTGCAAGTCCCATTTTGGTGTAACTCTTTGATTTTTCTAAAATTGCAAACTTTTGTCGGGTACACTTACAATAGTAATTATGAAGACCAAAGGTGTTTCCTTAATGGAATACGTCCTTTAAAGATACATGAGGTGATGCACTTGTTTTGGAAAATTTTTGAGTAAATTGCGAGAAATATAGGCAGTTTGTAAACAATTTTCTCGATAACGGTTGTATATTTTGTCTTCAATTGTGTTCTCGAGTAGAAACGTTTATAAAAATGGTGCCGATCCTATTTTCCGTGAACTCAGTATTTTCCAAAATCGTCTTAGTTTTTAATTACTTAGCTATAATTGAACTTCTCAATGCCCTGAATTACATTTAATCACTCGATTTACCCAATAATTAAGATATGTTCAAATTTATTTTGTCATTATTATGACTTCCTTTCGTAAAGAAGGGGTGTTATTGTCACCACACCTTATGTGAAGAAATGATGTTATGTCACCAAGCTCATTAACTAGGCTTTGAAATCAGTGAAAATAATAGTACAAAATGCATTTTTAAATCGCAAACAACAATTGAAATAAATTCGTCTTCGTATTTTTAAGCAATGGAAACTGAAATGGATTTCTCAGAAAGAAGTTTTCATTCAGCGTATACCTTTAATGTGTGTGGGTCATTGTGCCCAATGGTAGGTTCGCATGTCAGTCGAAGCCCCGTTTCTTTCCCTGACATTCCTGGGCTAGTTGTTTCTAGAGTAGTTTGTCGTTGCTTTCTCTTGATGCAAATTAAACATCGGATTGGGCACTTAGACATAGGGCTTTGTTTCTGAATCTGCTGCTCTCATTTTCTAACCACGTTACACTTTTCTGCTATTGGACGTCAAAATTGTTCTCGGCACTGTCACACTCTGAGTTGAACTTACTTCGCAAGTGATAAATCGACAAGAAGTATTTTTCTTTACGACAGCAATGCATTCAAATTCATTCTTATAGTTGAAAATTGGATGAAACTGTGTTTAGATTTACTTAGGAGAAACACGATTTCTAAACACAATATTTTGTAGTATGATGAGAAGCGTCTTTTGAATACATCGATAGGTAAAATGAGAAAATTTCCTCTATGACAAACTATGATTATGGCAAGCTCATTTTACCCCAATTCATAAGTCTAAGCCTGATGAATAATAAAAATAGTTAAAGTAGTCTCTGAACTTACTGAAATTTGAGCAAAACTTCCTGCCTACTATCAATCACATTCGCAAGGTTTCCTATTCATGACTTGTAGAGCCGGACAAAACGCATTCTGCTGTCGATCGTTCTCGCTGGCTTGCTTTCGCCACCTCCAAAGGCGCGGCCTCTCCTTACCTGCCTGTGAAATCTACATAGGTGTCTCATTCTCGGCTGTCAGCAGAGTATACTGCAGTGTGCGCAATGTGCTAGTAGTTTCGGCGTGTTTCGGTTGGGATAAGCACCACGAGCTCTAAAAAAAGAGAAAATAATTTATTACAAAATTATTATTATTTTTAATAATAAACTAGTTTTATAATAGAACATACTTTCTCAATTTATTTGTTGTGTGTTCAAAAAACACACGAAAAATTATCACATTTGTAAATGATGTTATATTATTCAGAGTTTTAATTTGAACGAAAGGATTTCATTTAGTAAAAATCTCGAACGTCGCTATTAAAATTGTTGGAAAACGCCGACAAAGTTTTAAACTTTTGCGATTTTCAAAAATGCAGAGAGTTCAACGATAATGGGACCTGCGCCATTTTTGTAAGCGTACTTGCTCGATTCGAGAAAATTGTAAAGAAAAATGTAGATCCATTTTTAAGAAACTTGTTGAGGCTACAAGTAAAGAACATCGAAAAAGCAAAATATTCGTTTCAGATTCGCAGAGCCTAGAGTTCGGCTAGATTGATTGGGGAATTGGAGACGATTTTGGAGAACATGGTCTGGACTGTTCAGGCATTGGAGTTGTCCATGGACATAACTGACGCAGATGTAGTCAAACGTTTTGCTGTTAACCAATTTTCCTTACTAAGGACCTGCAAAACGTAAATTCCGACAACAGGAAATTTCAGAGGAAATAATTTACTAAATATAGCAACAAGAATTATCCTTTTCATCAGTGTCAGGACCTATAATACGAGTTTTTTTGTCTAAAAATTGTCACTTTCGTATGCAGCTTTCTCTTTTGTAGGTAAGTACGCAGTAGATGAGGAAGTAAATACGAAGTTACCAGATAAATGTGATTAAAGTTTCTTTGACAATGGAAATGCAAGCGATACATGCTTAATTGATGAATTGAGGAATAAGCGATACTGGATAGTTTTGTAGCTCTTCTACTTATACTATCACGCATGGTATAAATTAGGATTGCAATGTTCCTTTTGCGATCGTAATTTTTCTTTTTGTCGTAGTAGTGCAAGTTACACTATTACGTTTGATTGCTTTGATTTGTCCATTTTTGACATTGCCTGCCTTTCATTAATTCAGTAATTATCTGTAAGTTATAAATGTAATAACATCATAGTTAATGCATAATACAATGGACGGAGTGATTTGTGTTATTGGGTATTCAGCTTGTTTCATATTAATATCGCAGACATACTAGTAGTTTAGGTACCCACTCCAATGAAAGTAAAATAGGTAATGCGTTGGAGATATTTAATAGAAACACTCAAGAAACACACTGGAGATATTGAATAGAAATAAGCGGTATCGAGAGATCCCATGACGCCTACAGAATTCATAATCCATCTTTGCCCTTTCGTCTGGCGTCGCGGAGGGCACAACCTGCAAACATGACGTCGATATCCTTCGTTCTCGATAACGGCAGTACTGTAACTAGTATTCTCAGACTTGGCGGTGTAGGTGCGGCGGTCTCTCCGCCGAGAACAATCGTAACGCAGTGGCTTTGTGTCTGAGTCAAATGGCTACGGCGCTAGACGAATCATTGGGATTGGCGGTTGCAAGCCGCATCTGTGCTTCCTTGGCGACGACGAGCCCTGGTCCGATTGTGTACGGGCGCCGCCCCCGCCGGCCTGCGTTTGCTCGTTGAATATAAACTTGATCACGTGCGTGGCCTACCGCGCTGCCTCGGACACGAATTAAACGTATGGTCTTGATAGATTGTGAAAGATAGAGAGGGAGAGAGACTGAGACAAACAGAAAGATAGAGACACAGACAGATAATTTCAAATATCGTGTCAGTTGATAAATTAGGACTGGGATCATTGTTATCCAGTTGGGAAAATTGAAGCTTCCGATTGGTTAATAACGCTCCCTCTCTTAACTCACCAAGTATCCAGAAATTTAAAACGCATTTTATGGTTTCGGATGAAAATATTGCATCGGATATCGGCTCTTCTAGCCATGCGAGATGATGAGCGTTACGCAACACTCGTGTGCTCGTTAGCTGTCGATTCCAAAGTGAGATCTTCCGATATGCAATTAATATTGGAGACGATTCGAATCCATTCTGAAAGACAATGAGTGACATTAAGCATACAGATGTGAATGTTTCTGAAACATTTCCACGTTTAACATTGGTATTATTCAAGTTGATATTTTTTTAATCGATGGATTTTGGTCGATATTTTGTGCTCGATATTTTTACGTTTTCGATGTCTTATTCGTGAATGATAAAGTCCCATAATCACAATTTTGTAAAAGTTGAAGTATGAAAAATAAACTGATACCACTGTCTGTGTTCGGGCGCGTACTAAGCGAACGCTTTTTGTATTAACTTCATTGAACAGACTATCCGTCGCCCGAGATGACCCTGATGTCTTGGCATTTCCTTCATCTTTTCTCGTATTTTGCAATTGGGGGGCATTTTAACTTTGTTTTCTGTTAAATTTTAATACAAAATATAATGCACGGCGACTGTCCAATTCAATTTTGTTGCGCACGAATTTAATTCTATAAATTGCGAAACAGATGATTGTTACAAATTAAAATACAAATTTGTTCGAGCTATGTGAAAAGAGACAATTGATGAACTGGATAAAGTTGGCTAGTGAATAGACGCCAGAATATAGGCCAGGAATATTAATGTGACATTGGGGTTTTGAAACCCAAATAGGAGCGACTTGGGATTCGATATTTGGCGAAACCTTGGTGAAGGTACTCCAGCAAAAATTAATCGGTGGTTCTCAAGAAAGGAACAAATATCCATCCACGGAAGTGGGGTAGGTAACATTAGCCGATTGATTCTGGTTACATGAATTGATGAATATTTAATTTCTGTTTGACTTAAAATGTTCTTATTTAAATTACCTCAAGAGAGAGGCGACATTTGGTGAGTGGCAATACAGCTGCGGCGGAATTTATTGGGGTTCAAACGATCACGATTGACTTGTGCATACGCTGTTGCGGGAACGTTGAATATTCAGAGGATTGGTAACACCTATGTTGTCGTTGATGATGTCGTTGTCGTTGGCTGTCGTTGGATGTCGTTGGATGTCGTTGGCTGTCGCGGCCAGTCATGATCTGGGCGACGCGGCGTCACCCGGACAGCCCAGACCATCGAATAATTTAAGGTCAATGTATTACAAACGTGGACGTTTTTGTGGCCGATGCATAACGCGGTGCGTTTCGTTGGATGTGTTTCAGCGTACGTGTCGTTCGTGCGCTTCTACGCGTCGTACCCGAAGGAAGTGCGCGACGTGTTCTGCTTCAAGGCGCTGCACCTGGGCCACCAGGCGAAGAGCTTCGCGCTGCGCGACCCGCCCAGGGCCATCGCCGGCATCGGCCGGCGCCGCTTCCACGACGACCTCAAGCAGCAGAAGAAGGAGCAGCAGCAGCGGCAGCGGCAGCGCGCCCCCACCCCCAAGTGAGTCCACGCCCCCGGATTATGTATTTATTTGTTTATTACTGATACTTTGATCTGCGCGCGCCGCGTCGATGCTGTAACGGTTAGCCTATCGGACTGTTGGTGGGTTCAGACCCGGTCGAAGCCGTGGATTTTTAAGGGCGAAAAAGTCCTTCGTACGCCTTCCTTCGGAGGGGAAATAAAGCCGGCGGTCCCGTGTTAGTAGATTTACTTGCGTGTAAAAGATCCTCGTGCCTAAATGACGCCTCTGAGCTAAATTCAAATCGCCTGTTTCTCGCCCAAGTACCTACTTACTCTGCTAGTTGGTGCAAGCGTAGCGAAATTTGCGTGGTTAGACGGAAGAGCAGGCCTAATGGCCTGAGTCTCGCCACGTAAAATAAGGCATTAATTCAATTCAATACTTAAAAGCTTGTTATTCTCTTCAATAAGGACCTCGACTTCTTACCTGATTGAGATGATCGTGGTTATTTACGTGGGAAATACGAAAACAGTTGAACGATGCTGCACGTTCTCCTATGGAGAGAATTATGAGGGGAATAAGAAAAGACAAACCGAGTCAAGTGAACTTCCTGTTATTTAGGTTTTTTTCTTCGAGGACTTTTTCCAACTTTAGGGGATGCTGATTTTCGTCCTTCCACGCCGGGTACCCACTGTCTCTTATAGGGACACATAGTAGTAACCTTTACCCTGCGGGCTCCTCGATCTGTGGTCCGCAGACTCACGAGTCCTTTCGCGACAAAACATACACGAAGGCAAGGGAGAAACAGCCATGCCCATTATGGGTCTTGAACCCACGACCCTTTCGACCGAGGTGCTGAGTCCGCACACGCCAGCCAGCCAGGTTGGCACCTTTTTGTTATTTAGTAAATATGGAAATCTGAATCATTAAAATTAGAAAGAAAAAATATTGAATCTACTACGTATTGGTTATTACGATCTCAGGCGATCAAAAACCCTCGGTTCAAAGGGCCTCGAGCTTTTTGTCGCCGCACGATCACTACAACCCTTATAACACCCTTGGTGCTTAAATAACTATTATTTATAAGAAATGAAGCCAGCACATGTACACCGATTTCATAATACATATTCACATCCGTGAATCCATTTATTTCGTGCAATTTGTTTTCTTATTATTGTGTATTTTTGAATATATATTTTCAGTTTTGAAGCGAACATTTCTGCCTTTCCTGTGACAATCTTATTTAGTTTATTTAGCTTTAACTGCTTATTGAGTTGTGGATTGCGTTATGTTTCCTCTTTGATGAAAGATGATGTAGGATGACTCGCCAGATCGGAAATTGCTTGTTCAACCAGTCCCGAAAAACCAATCTCAAAATGTTGAATGTATTGTATGCTATAAATATCAGTGTCTCATCTCTGTTCAGAACTGATAAACTCGACAAAATCGTATTTTTTCCCTTTTTCAAATAAACCATTCGTGTTACAAGAAGGTAAAGACGGTTTTGGAATCAGCCTCGGAGGAATAATATGAGTCTCATAGAATTTTTCTTCTGAAGATTCTTTTGACGACCAGAATTTTGCGTTGTAACTCGAACTTGTAGCAGTTTTGAAGTTCACAATGAACGATTTCGTGTTGTGGAGTTCAAGTTATGATACGATATTTTGTATTGGGGTATGATATTATTTAAGTGTATTGTGCCAATCGCCAGTCAGTTTTATGTAAACTTCAGAGATTACAAGTAATTCAAGCGTGTCCGTCCAGACAAATGTACTGCCAACTCTTGACTGGACCCTTAGTGCCATATTTCAAGAGCCTGCATCACGAACTCTGCATGCCTTCGCTTACACAATCAGTTGTTCGTAGAAAATATTTCGAGGTACCTGTAAAGACAGTTTCATCGCATAATGTATAAAGTACTAGATATTCACTTTATTTTGCGATGCAAGCGTTTTCCTGTACAAGGATCAATTCACAAAGCAGTGCAATTTGTCCTATTTCGGCACACTGGGAAAATGTCACAGAGAACATACATTTCGTATTCCTCCTGCGCGGTGAAGTGTTTCTAAATGTCTTCATAACCTATTATTCGCGCAAGTAATGTATGCCGATACTTCGGAATCATAATACATTCCCCTCTGTGAGGCTTGTATTGCTTCCGGTGGTCTGCCTCTGTTCGGCGCCGGGCGTCCGCGAGCGCCCCCTGGCTAGGAAAGTGTCTTTCTCCGCCCTCCCCACCACAGTGGCGGCGTCGGCTACCCGACATCGCAGTCCTTTCTTCTCCTTCGGCCGAGAAGAATGGACCCCTGACTGCTGGGGGTCAGTCCGCAAGTCGTGGCCCATGCTAATGATATGTGACGTGGAGCGCGATAGACCTGTATTGTGTTTGGTCAGGACTTTTTTTTTGAGGAGACGGTTTCTCACTGATCGACCAAACTTACAGCTTTTTAAATAATTGACTAGCAAATTAACGACGCCCCTTCCGTTCGTCCTTTATCATCCAAGGAGTCTACTACTACTACGCTAATGAGCGCAGCAGCTTCCATCTTTGAAATGGTGTCGTAATTTTCTGTGACAAATTAGGCTCCGTCGTAAGATTCATTGTCTTACGTAAGCGAGGTTATTTGGATTACAATCTGCGGAGTTGATTATTATCTGGAGTCGCCGGCGCTGCCGTGAGCGGCGGCGGAATTGCGTCAGTGAACTGCCCATTTGAGGATGGCGTTGGCCCGCGGCGATGGCTGCAGGAAGCCACTTCTCACCCGCTGCTGTCAGGGGCAGAGGCTGGCCGGCCTGCCGGGGCGCCCCCTTCCCGCGTCTGATGTCTCCAAATTAGACTTTAAGTGCGAGAGCGGCCGACCTCCCACGTGACCGGCGCCCCGCCTCCACCCGGCCGCATGCGCCCCCCC